TCACATGACACTTAATAAATGAGCCTGTGATTGAGAAACACAGTAGTGTTTGACTAATTGTAGCCTGCGTCACATCCAGAATTTTGACGCAGGTTAACTAATTGGAAAATTGTCTATTCCAGCATTCCAATAAATCAAAGCATTTCAAAACTTAAGTATTAAATTCATAAATAAATATGCTATATTATACTGAATGTTATTTAACATCACATGAAAAAAGAATATCTTCTTAATCAAACATACTACTAGACTCGAGAGATCTCTAATGCATATATGAATGTGTAAACAAAATGAGAATCCAAATAGTGTAATATTGCCAAATATGTCAAATATTTTAAAGAGTGAAGATTCTTTTGTTGGGACATTCAAAATTAAAACATTATTCTTACCCACTAGCTTACTGTGATTTTCATAAACATGCAAACTCTGGAGCTGCGAGCTGCGAGCTGCACACTGAAATTTGGTTTTTYGCTGCTGTCAATCAAACCTAATCAGTCAGTACCTTTCATATTTTTGATTGACGACAGTTAAAAACCAAATTTTAGTATGCAGCTTGCCGACACAGATTTCACATGGTTATGAAAATAGCAGTATTGTAAGATGAAATATATACTTAGATGTTGATGTAAAATACAAATGCAAAGGATCGTAAAAAAAATATCAAGAATAAGGAAATAAATCAGGATTTCAAATTATGGTTGGAGTTTTGATTTTTAAAATAACTGTGGAAATTAGTAGTCTTAATTATTACAACACATTTCACTGGGAAAATGAATGGAAGCACCCTGGAACAAATTGTTGGTCTTACTTGGTTGAGATGTGGTGGTATGTACTTATTGACTGAGTGGGAGGGCCGTACGGGAAAAAATTTGGCTCGAGGTCATGTCGTACGGACCGAGCGCAGCGAGGTCCGTACAAATGACCGAGAGCCAAATATTTTCCCGTACGGCCCGACCTAACTCAGTCAATAAGCATTTTATCATATGACCCTCACGAAAATAAAAATAATTAAGAAAAAGAAAGCGCGCAGATTCGAGCAGGGCCGGACGGGTTTTTCCGGCCCGCTTACGTCAACCCGTCCGGCCCCCATCACGTGACTTTTTCCAATGGTTTTATTAGAGCGCGCGAGCAGGGCCGTACGGGTCATATGATAAATTGACTTACCATCAATTAGTGAGCCACATTTCGAAGGTTGGCACGGCAACCTTAATTTTACAGAAGTAGTGAATGTGTTTGGTGTGTTGTTGAGTAAAGGATAAAACTTTTTTTTTCATTCACAAATAATAATTTTTATTTCATTTCAAACCCAGTAGATATACAAGTACAAAGCACACAGTCAGCCACTCTAGAATCTGTATATAGCATCGTTTTCGCCATACCACATGCTAAGGGAACCATAGGCATATAGCGGGAAAGAAAGCCTGAGGGAGGAAAATAGATGGATATTAGCATACTGGTGATAATACTATGAACCCTGCTAATCAAATGACATACCTTACTTACTGCTAGTCATCTCCCAAGACTCACCAGTAGCAAACTGACAGCTAGCATCCATACTGCCATGAGGACACCGATAGTCTGTTACTGTACGAAAGAATGTACAAAATACAAGCCCAATAGATAGATCGTACAGTCTGACAGCCTTACATCCCCTGTCAACCATCGACTGGCATTGTTTTTTACATTTAAGACTGGCTATGCTCAGCTGGTCACTAAATGATACCTCACTGATTACATCTCCTTCAATGAACTTGGAGTGCACTTTAGTCCATTGACTTCCTGAAACACAAATAGGTAACAAATCAACAAGCAAACCGATTGACCATACCCACCCTTGATCTTTAGTCAAGCAATCTGTGTCATTGACCATACCCACCCTTGACCATTAGTCAAGCAATGTGTGTGATTGACCATATCCACCCTTGATCATTAGTCAAGCAATCTGTGTTATTGACCATACCCACCCTTGATCATTAGTCAAGCAATCTGAGTGACTGACCATACCCACCCTTGATCATCAGTCAAGCAATCACTAATTATACTGGATATTAATTACTTGTGCTATGGATTATATAAAAGTATTGCATGCATGATGTAGTATCATAGTATTGCATGCATGAAGTAGTTATCACAGTATCACATGCATGATGTAGTATCAGTATTGCATGCATGATGTAGTATCATAGTATTGCACGCATGATGTGGTATCATAGTATTGCATGCATGATGTAGTATCATAGTATTGCATGCATGATGTAGTATCATAGTATTCCATGCATGATGTAGCATCATAGTATTGCATGCATGATGTAGTATCACAGTATCGCATTAATGATTTAGTATATCCAAGTCTGGCATGCAATGATGTAGTATGTCACAGGAGTGCTTAGTTCACTGGCATACGCTTCATCCTTGTCTTGTTCGTCACTTGCCATGTAACTTCATCTCTTGTTTGGAGATATTCATACTGAGATTGCAGCTGACCTATCTTTAATGCATTTGATGATGGGTTTCTTATAGTGGCATGCATTAGAGGTATTATAGATTAGTTGGTAACGTTTTCTTATGCGAGTATCAAGTCATGCAGACCTTTCTTTTCTTGTTGTCATAGTGGCATGCTTTCCTCTACAACCCATTCTAACTACCTTGTTCAATCAACTTGTAGACGTAATTTGCTCCAGCTTTTCCAACTCCAGCAACACATTTTTGCGACTTGCCATTCTTGTCGTACCTGGTCTGTTCACCACTCCAGCATTCTCCATAAAACTGTATTCCAAAATACTGGTACCCATTTTCATTTGCTAATCTCGAACACTTGTCGATGGTTTTATTTATATTGTACCAATCGATATCATTTCGTAAATCTGCCAGAAGCTTTGGTAACGGTCTAGGGTCTTTTCCGAGGTCCCGAAAACAACCAATAGCTTCGAAACGCGGCACGTTTGATCCTAAAACTTTGTATGCAAGTTAATAGATAAATTCTCTCTCTTTTTACAAGATATCCTGCAAGGTCTTTGAGGCTCACTACACAACTGTTTTCGTAGCTTAACTCTAATATTAAATCAATTTGTACTTATTTAATAGTAGTTATAAAGTAACATTATTTGTTATGACAGACCCCACCAAAACCAAGTACGATCTTTTTAGAGAAAAAGTAGGTCGCTGTGTTGGTTGAACAACAGAAACGCATAAATATCTTTTTTAAGTTAACTAATACGGCCGAAAAACCAAAAACCGAATGCCGCCATACAATGACTATCGTACATGCCGACAGAAAGTCTATACTTACCCGAAATAGAGGAAAGAAAAGCCAGAGAAAACACAAGGACGACCACTGCTTTCATCTTGAATATAGCACCCTAGAAATAAAGCGTAAAATAAAAGGTTTTGAAAAACTTATACCAGTAATATTGACACAACGACGACAAGAATACACGATCTTGTTGACGTACGGAAGTCAAATGGGAAGAATGAAAAGTCAATATTTTCTTTTACATCAAAAGGATTAAAAACTAAAATGGAAAGCGGTTATCATTAAAATGTATTAGTAGACCCTAATTACACTGTCTTTTCGTTGTGTGATTCTATTGGACGATTACATGATGACTAGTATTTTTTGGATTGAAGTCAATATTTTGTTTTACATGAAAAGGATTAAAAATACAAATGACAACGATTGTCTTTAAAATATATTAGTAGACCCTAATTACACTGTCTTTTCGTTGTGTTTCTATTGGACGATTACATGATGACTAGTATTTTTTGGAAATGTCTTTAATCAAGCACTCTTTTAAAACACGTTTTATTTCATTATTATAAGTGGTGTACTTACCCCAGGTGTTCTATCCCAGCGGTCTTTCTTCCTTCTACGTTTTGACGTAAAGTATTGACATGTGTTGACATTGTGGTGTGAAAGGGAAGCAAGCATAGGGACATAAAATAGATCATTCAATTTTGTGTATTTTAAAAACGACCTAAACACATATTCACTTTTATTAAAGAACAGAGGCGACAAATATTCTTTGATAACTCTTACACTAAACGCTTAATAATTCTTTCCTTAGTGATAGTGGTTTCAAAGTAAAACGTTGGAAATTTCGGGATTTGTAAAATTAAACCGGTGTTGTTAGAATGTTCCTATCTTACGGCATGACTCCTGGGATACTACTCTATTGAGGTCAAATAAGAAGCTAAAGTACTCAATATACAGTGTATTGTAATATTGATGACATTACCGAGGAAACATTAACACCTGCTTGAGTGAATGATAGAAAAAATATTATTCGGCTACGTTTGTTCTAATAAATCCCCCCCTCCCCTCCCCTGCAGAAACTATACCTTTATCAATATCCAAAGAGTTTGGGTGCTGATGAATTAATATTATTCCGTAGCACCCTCCTTTTGATATTTGAATTATTATTTATTGATATTCATTTTTGGAAGCCAACTTTACTATTGCACATATATTCATTGTTCAGTCGGCTACGAAATCTAAGGCCTAGGACAAACGTCGAAAGTTCGACGTTTGCCCTAGGCCTAAGTGTTCTATGGTTCAATATACAGGAGGTTTATCGCCAGTTTCTTAGTTTCTTGACAAAGAAACCCTCTAAGACTTCAGCACAGCGATAATAAGGTGATTCTTTAGGGTTGTATAAGCGACAGTTGTCAAATATAGTGGTGATGTCACTATTGAACTGGTCCAGTGTTTTGTAGTAATTGGATGTCAGACGATCTTCTACTTTGGACAGATCTATGAAGACAGAAAACACCCGATGACAATCAATCTATACAACACTACCTATCCCTATCTATCATCTACTGAACTGATCATCGCGAGATCCAAAGTACCCATTGGGTCCTTGATAACGTACCCATTGGGTCCTTGATAACGTACCCATTGGGTCCTCGATAACGTACCCATTGGGTCCTNGATAACGTACCCATTGGGTCCTCGATAACGTACCCATTGGGTCCTCGATAACTTACCCATTGGGTCCTTGATAACGTACCCATTGGGTCCTTGATAACGTACCCATTGGGTCCTTGATAACTAGCCCATTGGGTCCTTGATAACTAGCCCATTGGGTCCTTGATAACCTACCCATTGGGTCCTTGATAACTAGCCCATTGGGTCCTTGATAACCTACCCATTGGGTCCTTGATAAC